ACAAGGTATGTTTTTACATTTGGCAGTGCAGCAGTCAGTTGGGTCTCGAGGCTACAGAAAATAGTGACTATTTCAACAACAGAGGCGGAGTATGTTTCAGCCACAGAGGCATGCAAGGAGATGGTATGGCTAAGGAGTTTCATGAAAGAGTTGGGTAAGAAGCAAGATAATTCTAAATTATCCAACGATAGTCAGAGTGCTATACATCTGACAAAGAATGCAGCTTTTCATTCGAGAACCAAGCATATCGACATAAAGTATCACTTTATTCGTTTTTTGTTGGAGGATGGAGAGTTCACTTTGGAGAAGATTCACACAAGGGATAATCCGGCATATATGTTTACGAAAGTGGTTATTGTGGAGAAGCTGAAGTCTTCTTTAGCTTCTGTGGGTCTCTCAACTTGAGGACAGGAGGAAGAGCTGCAGGGGGGATGAGAGATTGTGTTTTTGGAAGGATTGCAGTTTTGATGTTGGTGTTTGAACTAGTCTCCAAGTGGAAGAATTGTTGGTTTTTTGTGGAGTCTAGTTTGTATATGTGATCCAGATGATGACCCGAGCCGAAGTAATGTTGTGTGATTTTTTAATTAAAAATTTTTTGGCCCGTTATATAGCCCTACGTAGGACATATAAAATCCGTTATTTTGGTGATTAGGGTTAATATGGTGGATTGTACAGCCGCTCTCTGTATTCAACTCTCTCAATAGTGAAATTCCTGCAGTTTCGTGGACGTAGGCAAATTGCCGAACCACGTAAAATCTGTGTCTTGTTCTTTCTTGTTTCTTATTGCTTTATATTCTTGATTTGTTCTTCGATTGTGTGTGTTTGTTAGTGGATTTAAATCGTTGTTAAATCCCAACATTGTAATCCGCACATAATCGCCATGTGTTATTAGCTTTAGTGACAAGAAGGACTGGTGATAAATAGGGAGATTGACTAGGTCTGATGATGCCACGCTCCAACATGTCTTTGCACTGCCTTTCAATTTTATCTTTTTGTGCATGGGGGTATCAATATGGTCGCACCACTACGGGATGTGTTCCTAGCTCCAAGTTGATGTGATGGTCATGCAATCGGGCGGGAGGAAGGCCCTGCGGTTCTTGAAATAAATAGTCAAATTTAGCTAGGAGTTTGTTGGGTTCCATATCTGATTGGGACTCAATTTCTACGTCTTAAAGTTGTGCAATTGGAGTGGGATGTGAGCTCTTAGTTCCCTACAATTCCATAACTCTTCCATTATATTTGAAAATCATAGTTTTTGACTTGAAATCCCATAGGATGGTGGGACCCATTGATTGAAGCCAGTTGACTCCTAATACGACATCAACTCCATTTAAAGTTAAAATGTAGAGATCAATAAGAATTAATTGATTATCCATCGCAATAGGAACATCTTGACACTGACCTGGACTTTTGATTTTACTACCGTTTACGACCACGACCTGCAGCCTCTCCTCAGGTTCACAAGTAAGTCTCAATTCGTTCACCCATCTAGAATCTAGGAAGCTATGAGTGCTACTCGAGTCAATCAGAATCATTAAGCTGTGTCCCACAATTATCCCTTGAATTCTCATTGTTTGGTCTCCTGAATTCTCTCTCATGATAGCATGTAGTGAGATTTCTAGTTCAATTTCCTCTTCGAATTCATGATCTTCGTTATCTCCCTGCACTGATTCCTCCACACCATCTAGCCAGAACAAATGCTTGCATTGGTGTCCCCAGTTGTAAATCTCATTGCAATTGAAGCATAAATCCTTGGCTTGACGCTTGTCCATCTCAACGCGACAAAGTCATTTGAATATTTTCTGGTTGGGAGAGCTTTTTGATATAATTGGTGATGGTTTAGAAAAAGGAATCATGGTTCTCTTCCCCCCCCCCCCCCCCCCCCCCCCCCCCCNCGATGTCAATGCAAATAAGAGTTTGAAATTTTTCCTCTCCTTTTTCCCTAACATTCTAGCTTACAATATAAAGAAGCTTACAAAGTAGGCACTACTACTGCACTATCTAAACTAACAATCATAAAACTAGGAAATAACAATGAAATTTGCAAGCTGGAACATAATATATTGCTGGATAAACTCCCATCTTCAAGCTCCTACTTTTCAGCCACGCCTCTGATATACTTGCCCTTAGGAAAACTTGTCCACGTGCTATTCATAACAAACTCTCTCTAAGAAATTCAGTAAAATAAACTTATAAGAATGGGTGCTTCCTCATAAAGGGTGTCATAGTGACCAAGTCCAAACAACTATATATCACAAATATAAGTCTTTGCAAAGTTATAAAATCATGCGTGGGGCTGACATTTGCCCAGTGCCTGAAGGTTAAGGAAGTTGGGGACCTAATGATAGGAGAGCCAACGACCGAGATCCAGTGAACGACAGTCGTGACTATAACGGTCCTAAAATGACGAAATTCCTTATTAGGTAAATTCTGACCCGTACGATTTTAAACATAGTATTTCCCCCAGTAAATATTAGGTGTAACCATTATGATAGAAAATAACAAAATTAATAAAATATGGCTCACTTCCTATCATAAAAATGATTATCTATTACATGGTTAAGTGATCATGAGTTTCAGTAAACCCTACTTTCTGACTTGTTTACCTATTATAAATCAACCAGCATCATAGGTTACGCATATATATCTTGGGATAGGTATGTGCTGTCGCTTTTGTTTTTATTCATTTGGCACATTTCATATGAAACTTTGTTGTGTTAGCATATATCACCGATTCCATAAATATTTAATCTTGGGGTACCTAATGTGAGGTAGTTTACATTTGTTTTTATTCGTTTATATTATCCATTTTCACATGGTTAGATCATTATTATTTTGGGTTAGGTAGTTGTCAAGTAACTGTAACCTAACATATTTGGAAATTTTGTCGCCATATTCAATGGGAATACATGTAAAATAGAGAGTTTGATACCCTTCTTCTTTATGACCAAGTTATTATGCATAGGAGTTCAATTACAATTCAATGGAGTCAAGTTTTATATAATATGTAGGTAAATCACTTACTAAACGATCAAAGACAGTAATATAAAACAATGTTTCTATTGTAGAAGAGAAATCACACAGAGCCTAACGAAGAGAAGCTCAGCAAAAAAGTACAAGAAAACCTTACAACAAGAGAGGCCATCAGTAGTAGGTTGTAATCTTGTAGGCATGACTATGAAGATTCTCCAATTATAAAATGCCTTATTTGAGTCATAGTTACTAACCCGAAAGGATATCCTGTCCTCACAGTATTATTAAAGTTAAACAATAACTCGCGTTATTCTCGTGAATCAAATTTTGTTTAATAATCACTTGAGAGTCGTGAATGGCTCGAAACGAGTATAACTTACCACAAAACTACTGACTCGGATGATATTAGTTAAACATTATCAAACACAAAAACNTTAACCCGAAAGGGCATCCTGTCCTCACAGCATTACTAAAGTTAAACAATAACTCGCGTTATTCTCGTGAATCAAATTTTGTTTAATAATCACTTGAGAGTCGTGAATGACTCGAAACGAGTATAACTTACCACAAAACTACTGACTCGGATGATATTAGTTAAACATTATCAAACACAAAAACTGGCCCCTTAACTTATTAGCTGGAAGAATCTTCAAATAAGTAATGGTGATATGTTATGCTAAGAACAATACCAAAGATTCGTAGACAAATACCTTAGCGTTGTCAAGGAAATATCCAAATAATTCCACGTCAGCAACCCTATTTTATTATAATAACCTCACATTTATTTTTTAGAGAGTAATATTATTGAGGCCTAAAAATTTGATCTAATTTGTTAATTTAATAAGTAATTTGTTATTTCTCTCACATCACTTATTTCTATAATAAGTTAAACCATTGAATTTTGGATTAATTTATGACTCAATATAATTTTTATTTCAGACATTATTTATATATAATATGATAATGTACGTATATCGGTATTTTTTATGATCGTTTATTTTGAAAAAAATTGTCAATTTTTTTATTAATAAAATTTCACTTTTTTTATGAAAAAAATTATGGTTAGAAATTAATTTTAAACTATATAATTAAAGAAAGAAAAAGAAAAAATGATACTATTTAATATAATAAGATTAATTTTTTTAGATGTTTAGACTTATTGTTGCATCGTGTCTTGAGCACGGCTCAGCTATGACTAGTTTTCAATATTATGGAAGACAATTAACTTTTTTATGTCATACCTTATTGGTATTNAAAAAAAATTATGGTTAGAAATTAATTTTAAATTATATAATTAAAGAAAGAAAAAGAAAAAATGATACTATTTAATATAATAAGATTAATTTTTTTAGATGTTTAGATTTATTGTTGCATCGTGTCTTGAGCACGGCTCAGCTATGACTAGTTTTCAATATTATGGAAGACAATTAACTTTTTTATGTCATACCTTATTGGTATTATTGTGATATGTAAAAGGAAAATTACACTTCAACCTTCTTAACTACGGACTCAATCTTATTTTGCTCCGTGAATTATTAAAATTTTCATATTATTTTTTCAACTATCGAATAAATTCCACATTGTCTCAAATGTAAGCATCCGTTATTTTTTAGAAAAAAATTGTAAACATTTTCAGAGAGAGTAAAATAAAGTACACAGTTCAGAGGTAAAATAATNGGATATGTAAAAGGAAAATTACACTTCAACCTTCTTAACTACGGGCTCAATCTTATTTTGCTCCGTGAATTATTAAAATTTTCATATTATTTTTTCAACTATCAAATAAATTCCACATTGTCTCAAATGTAAGCATCCGTTATTTTTTAGAAAAAAATTGTAAACATTTTCAGAGAGAGTAAAATAAAGTACACAGTTCAGAGGTAAAATAATTTTTTTTTAATAATTTCGTAATAGACATAGGGTAATATGAAACTAATAACATAATTACAACATAAAATACACAATAGTAGAAAAGGTAATGTGAAAAAGACTGATAGTTGAGTGGGTGAAAGTGTAATTTAACGAGGATGGTCCTGTATATACGTATAACCACGGTTAAGTTGCAGTGTAATCAAAACAACAATGAATCCAACAACACTAGCAACAGGGGACACCAATCTCTTCTTCCCTCTCCTTCTACTACTACTTCTCTCTCTCATCACTTTCAAGCTTTTTTCAACCAAAAGATCATCACTCCCACCCGGCCCATTTTCATGGCCAATCGTCGGCAACCTCTTCCAAATCGGAAAGAACCCCCATATCAATCTCGCCAAACTAGCTCAAACCCACGGTCCTCTAATGTCTCTCAGGTTTGGTTCACGACTCGTCATTGTCGGGTCATCACGTGAGGTGGCCGCCGAGATTCTCAAAACCCATGATCGCCTACTTTCCGGCCGATGTATACCAGACCCGCTTAAGGTCAATGACTCAAAGCTACACAATTTGGGTATTGGTTTTTTCGATGAGTGCGATAATAACTGGAAGAATGTAAAGTCCATGTATAAGGGTGTGCTTTTCTCGGCCAAAGCCATGGATTCGCAGGTGAGTTTAAGAGAGAAGAAAGTGATGGAGATGGTGAGATATTTGGCTACAAAGGAAGGTCAAGTTGTGAATCTGAAAGAGATAGTGTTTACTACTGCTTTCAATATTTTGAGTAATATATTATTATCTGTGGATTTGACAGACTTTGAGGAGAGTGAGGGAGAGGAAGAGGGGTTGAAGGTCTGGTTGAGAAAATTTGTGGAGGTCGCTGGTACACCACAACTGGCAGATTTGTATCCAGTGTTTGCTGGATGGGATTTACAGGGAATGTATAAGAGGATGATGAAACTGTTTGATAAAATATGTGATTCTTGGATAAACATTGTCAAACAAAAGAGAAAGAGAGGAATTCAGATTCTGGGTCAAGGAGATTTCACCGATGCTTTGATCGAAAAAGGGTTTTCCGACGACCAGATCAACGCCATATTTATGGTCTCCCTCTACCTCTCTCCTGTTTATCCATATATAAATGCATGCATTTACTCGTATAGTGGTATATGTAAATAACACATTTATATCTATCTTTTTTAAGTTTTTTCCACTTTTAAATCGTTTTTCTTCTTGGTATCTTCGCTTGTGTACCTTCTTCTTCTTTTTTCTTTTTTCTTTCTTTTTGTTTGCGGGAGGGAAGGGGAGGGAGAAAGGGCCAAAACTCTTCAACCCGAAAAAATAAATATTTTATAAAATAAAGAGTATTATTAAATTAAAGACTCGTTGATATCTTCACTTATGTACCATACACTCGTTATTATCAACATAAGTTTTAAGAATAATTCAATAGTTGAAATTAATCTTTAATAATCTAGACATTTGAAATTTAATCTCTAGGCTACCATTATTTCTCACAAACATGGTCTAATCCAACTTGAGTCATGGTGACTGACAACATGTAACAAAGATAAAAAATAAAAAAATAACACCAACACCCACACNAGGAGAGTGAGGGAGAGGAAGAGGGGTTGAAGGTCTGGTTGAGAAAATATGTGGAGGTCGCTGGTACACCACAACTGGCAGATTTGTATCCAGTGTTTGCTGGATGGGATTTACAGGGAATGTGTAAGAGGATGATGAAACTGTTTGATAAAATATGTGATTCTTGGATAAACATTGTCAAACAAAAGAGAGAGAGAGGAATTCAGATTCTGGGTCAAGGAGATTTCACCGATGCTTTGATCGAAAAAGGGTTTTCCGACGACCAGATCAACGCCATATTTATGGTCTCCCTCTACCTCTCTCCTGTTTATCCATATATAAATGCATGCATTTACTCGTATAGTGGTATATGTAAATAACACATTTATATCTATCTTTTTTAAGTTTTTTCCACTTTTAAATCGTTTTTCTTCTTGGTATCTTCGCTTGTGTACCTTCTTCTTCTTTTTTCTTTTTTCTTTCTTTTTGTTTGCGGGAGGGAAGGGGAGGGAGAAAGGGCCAAAACTCTTCAACCCGAAAAAATAAATATTTTATAAAATAAAGAGTATTATTAAATTAAAGACTCGTTGATATCTTCACTTATGTACCATACACTCGTTATTATCAACATAAGTTTTAAGAATAATTCAATAGTTGAAATTAATCTTTAATAATCTAGACATTTGAAATTTAATCTCTAGGCTACCATTATTTCTCACAAACATGGTCTAATCCAACTTGAGTCATGGTGACTGACAACATGTAACAAAGATAAAAAATAAAAAAATAACACCAACACCCACACACGCATAGAATTAGTTACTATGTTACAATTGATTTATCTACCATGTTATTTGTTTTTGTTTTTTTTTCAGGAGATTTTTGCCGCTGGTACTGAATCTACACTTGCAACAACTGAATGGTTGCTTACAGAATTCATTAAAAATCCAGAGGCCATGCACAAACTCCAGGAAGAACTTGATAAAGTGATCGGCGCCGGAGATACAGTGAGAGAGTCCTACTTACCTGACCTCCCCTACCTAGAAGCTTGTGTCAAGGAGTCTCTCAGATATCACCCTCCGGGACCATTGCTCCTTCCTCGACGTGCAGTTCAGACCTGTGAACTAATGGGTTACACTATTCCTAAAGACAGCCAAATTTTCGTGAACATGTGGGCAATTGCAAGAGACCCCAAAATCTGGGAAAGCCCAGAAAGCTTCAAACCAGAGAGATTTTTGAATCTAGGGATTGATTACAGAGGGCATGACTTTGAGTTTGTACCCTTTGGTTCAGGAAGGAGGATGTGCCCTGGACAGCCTTTGGGTTCTAAGGTTCTCCCCCTTATTGTTGGTTCATTGATTCACTCATTTGATTGGTCTCTTCCAAGCAACATGGATCCTGACACGATCAACATGAGTATTATGCTGGACATAACAATGCAGAAGAAAGAACCACTGCAGATTATTCCTAAACTGCGGAAGCCATTAAAAGATTGATTACATGCAGTACTGTTGGAAAATAAACTTGTTTCTGAGAATTATGTTTTTCTATGTTGTCTTAATTTGGTCTGAGCTGGTGGTTAATGAGAGTATGCAAGTAGTGGGAGACAATTATGTTAATCCTGTGTAATGGTGTGTTTATTGCTCAAGTAATGGAGAAAGTGTCAGTTTTAATATTTTGAAGGTTACAAGAGTTGGTGATTATCTTAATATAATGTTGTAGGAGTTATATAAAGAAATTATGAGTTTGAATCTTATCTCATATGTCTTTTTCATCCATTTATATTACGAGAAATGTTATTTAGATCTAAAAAATTGATCTTTTTTATTAACTTAATTCACTATAGTCGTTGAATTGGCGATAAATTTTATAGTCATTGAATTGACGGTAAATTCTATTAAATGTCGAAACTTAGTGTTGATATAATGGTTCTAAATGAAGCCACATCATTAAATCAACAAATAAAATTAGATTTTTAAGTTTAAATAACATAGTTCTTCTATCACATCATCTATTTTTGTCACAAGTTGAATTAGTTGATTTTTTTACTAATTTGTGACTTAATACAGTTTTTACTTTGGACATTGTTCATATACGATAGTATACATATGTTGAAATTTTTTTGAGGTCATGTATTTTGAAAAAAAAAATAATTTTTTTATTGAGTAAAAATTTGGGTTAATTATATTGACAGTCCTCAAAGTATAGAATTTCTCTCATTTTGGTTCTTAATATTTCAATTGCGTTATTTTAGTCCCTCAAGTATGTAATATATTTCTATGTGATCCCTCAACTAAATAGCATTCAAATTACTAACGATTTTTTTATCATAAACTTGTCTCGTGTTACCTAAATATGAAAAAAAAAAAAATTTGAATAGCTCTTGACCAAAATTTGAATAGCTCTTGACCAAAATTTGAATAACTCTTAATCAAAATTGTGTAATTTAGATAACTCTTTGACTAAAATTTTGGGTACAAGTTTAGTCAAGTGTTATCCAAATTATTTTTTTATCTATATTTAAATATCACGTGACAAATTTACAGTTAAAAACCGCTAGTAATTTGGATATGTTATCTACTTAAAGGACTATATAAAAACATATTTAATAATTCAGGGATTAAAACGATGTAATTAAAATATTGGGGATTAAAATGAGACAAACATCATACTTTGGGGGCTCCACTGCAATTAAACCTAAAAATTAATTCAAATTATGTAACTTAAAAAAAAGAAAACAAAAAATTTTTATTTGATATAATGGTATCAATTTTTTAAACACTCGGATATTGCATGACCTAATACTACTATAAAAGTTCAAAAAAAACAAAACATTTGATTGGAGATAATAATATTAATAAAATAACTAATTATGATACTATTTTTTTTAGGTTATAGAAACAATATTAATGTTATTTATAATTGTTACTATTATGAATGCCATTGAACTACTGACTGTTGGGTTATATCCAACATATCTTCTTTTGTTTAAAAAAAAATGGATCAATGCTGATTCTAATTATGTTACTCAATAGATCAAATTTTGATTCAAATCAAAATCCAATTAACAAGATATGAATTTATATTTTTTGTCAATTAACCGAATTCAAATCCGATATCTTATACTTCACGGATTTAAATTTGCATATACCTGTATTCAATTCAATTATGATCTAATCTAAAATATTTATGTATTTATGTATAAATATTAAAAAAATAATTATTTAAATCAGACCCAAATACACATTTGACAGCAGCTTAGAGCTGGGTGACAATTAATCATGTTATAAGTGACATAATGTCCTTGGTGGGAGAAATTATTGAGCATAACGATTACACCACATCATCAATATCACTTGATGCAACCGTTCAATAACAAATGGACAAGTAAATCCCACCAAATTCAATAACCATCATTTATGTAATAAATAACCACCTCTACGTAAAAAAAAAAAAAAAAATTTCATTTCATCCATTTTTTAACTTTCTTATTAGACGATTATACAATGTAATACTGTTGATATGGTCTAACCAAACCTCCTTACCTCATCTTTCCAGGGCCTCTTGTACTGCTGGAAGCCTAAAGTTTTCAAGTGTAAGTTACAGTTACCCAATTTCATGTGACCTTCTCTGGCTACAAAAATAAATAATAAATAAATAAAATGCTGTTGGGTATTCACCAGAAATGATAGAACCCAAGTGTTACTAAGAGCCATAGCACTGGTAATATTGTTAAAAAGCAACACATTGCATGTCAAAAAATTTCCTGTCACACATACTACTATTTACATGAAGAAAAATAAACCCAAGGTTTCTGCACATTTCAGGGAGAAGAGTCCGTGTTCCGTACGACAATTGACCAAAAAAAAAAAAGTTTACCGTCACCATTAAAGCATAAACAGTCCAAAAACCTGTATGTACGTATAAGCCATTTGAGAACCACTGGATGGATTTTTCTTGCATCCAAACTTCAATAAATTAGTCACCTCGCACCTCTCCTTGACAAACAGGGCAAATCTGTGAGGGAGATAGAGAGAGAGAGAGATCGTGAATTCTTTCAGGTAGAATAACTTGTTTAATGTAATTGTTCAATCATACTGAGATTTCACTCTATGATGCGTTCATCATGTAGACGTATGATATTGGTTAGATTAAACGTATTACACTCGAGGGTTACGTCGTGGCATATTAATGAGGGGCACAGGCTCAGTCCAGTCAAAATTTTCAGGGTCTCTCAACTATCCCATATGGTCTGGGAAGGTTTGCTAAGCCTCAGGACAAAGTATGCACGCAGAAGCTAGCAACAACCTATCCCTCTTAAGGCCATCATATCTACATGTTCAACAAAATGGACTAAAAAGCATGGGACGGAGGTCTTGGACTAAGCTGCTCAAATCAGCTACATTTCATTTAACAACGAAAGNCACTTCACAGATTCAAATTTGCATATACCTGTATTCAATTCAATTATGATCTAATCTAAAATATTTATATATTTATGTATAAATATTAAAAAAATAATTATTTAAATCAGACCCAAATACACATTTGACAGCAGCTTAGAGCTGGGTGACAATTAATCATGTTATAAGTGACATAATGTCCTTGGTGGGAGAAATTATTGAGCATAACGATTACACCACATCATCAATATCACTTGATAACGATTACACCACATCATCAATATCACTTGATGCAACCGTTCAATAACAAATGGACAAGTAAATCCCACCAAATTCAATAACCATCATTTATGTAATAAATAACCACCTCTACGTAAAAAAAAAAAAAAAAAGTTTCATTTCATCCATTTTTTAACTTTCTCGTTAGACGATTATACCATGTAATACTGTTGATATGGTCTAACCAAACCTCCTTACCTCATCTTTCCAGGGCCTCTTGTACTGCTGGAAACCTAAAGTTTTCAAGTGTAAGTTACAGTTACCCAATTTCATGTGACCTTCTCTGGCTACAAAAATAAATAAAATGCTGTTGGGTATTCACCAGAAATGATAGAACCCAAGTGTTACTAAGAGCCATAGCACTGGTAATATTGTTAAAAAGCAACACATTGCATGTCAAAAAATTTCCTGTCACACATACTACTATTTACATGAAGAAAAATAAACCCAAGGTTTCTGCACATTTCAGGGAGAAGAGTCCGTGTTCCGTACGACAATTGACCAAAAAAAAACTAGTTTACCGTCACCATTAAAGCATAAACAGTCCAAAAACCTGTATGTACGTATAAGCCATTTGAGAACCACTGGATGGATTTTTCTTGCATCCAAACTTCAATAAATTAGTCACCTCGCACCTCTCCTTGACAAACAGGGCAAATCTGTGAGGGAGATAGAGAGAGAGAGAGATCGTGAATTCTTTCAGGTAGAATAACTTGTTTAATGTAATTGTTCAATCATACTGAGATTTCACTCTATGATGCGTTCATCATGTAGACGTATGATATTGGTTAGATTAAACGAATTACACTCGAGGGTTACGTCGTGGCATATTAATGAGTGGCACAGGCTCAGTCCAGTCAAAATTTTCAGGGTCTCTCAACTATCCCATATGGTCTGGGAAGGTTTGCTAAGCCTCAGGACAAAGTATGCACGCAGAAGCTAGCAACAACCTATCCCTCTTAAGGCCATCATATCTACATGTTCAACAAAATGGACTAAAAAGCATGGGACGGAGGTCTTGGACTAAGCTGCTCAAATCAGCTACATTTCATTTAACAACGAAAGGAATGCAGAAGGTTGTGTTTCTGCCTACCAGAAAACACCAACCAAAATCTACATAGAGGTTACTGAATTTACTTTATTTTCTGTCCACTTGCAGAAATTCTCCAAAAGAAAATGTTTTTTGATGTTGGATTGAACGAAAATGTTACCAAAGTAAGGAACTCTTACTTTATTGAGCTTCAACCAACGTCTGATGCATGCTGAATGATATTGGTGTGCACAAGGCAACGTGGTCAATCGAACTCCATTTTTGTAGGCCATGCAACAGATCACACACCTAGAAGCAGATATGTCACTAACAATTGTCATTAATTATAATGGTAACAGCTATTTCCTATGATCTAAGGAATTTTGCAACTATGCAACTTTTTTAGATTTTCAAATAAGTTAACAATTACAACCAGGAAACTAATAAAGAGGGATACCTCTTAGAATGAGACGACAAATTCGGCTCTTCAAACATGGTTCGTTTTTATAAATATAGGGAGCATCCAAATCATTCATACAGATGTGTTTAATGCTACTATCAGTTGCTGTATCTTTGATCACTATTCAAATACTTGGGAACTATTCGACTTTTTTGAGTTTGCTTGAACTGTTACTTAAATAAGGCATTGCCCTCCTAATGTCAAATAAATCATGAAATTACAAGGTTGAGTCAAGTCAACCATTGTCCCAGCTTAAATTGAGTGCAATGAAATGTCAACCAAAGTCACCCAATATAAAATGCTATTACCATGAGTTTCATACTTCTGAGCTGTATAAATCAAATCAAATTCTTTTGAACTGAGTGATTTTACAGTGTGAAGCTATGAACTCTAACAAGACAGGAAAAAGTGAACTTGATAGTTCAAAATCAATACCATGTTCGGGCCTTCGTGGAGTATTTACAGGGCTCTCAAAACCTACAACCAAAGAAATTGTTGAATCCAAGGTGCAAGCACAGGGAAGTGGTAACAGTTTGGATGGTAGGTTTAGCTGGCCGATACAGATGGTCCAACCAGAAATGGAAGCATTAAAACATGGAAGTAGTTATGAGAAGGCACTTTCATGTGCTAATCAATTGCTTATCAGACATTATCTTACCCCTATTGTACAAATAGTCAGCAGGTCAAGCCCTCGGCAGAATCAAGGACTGAAGATACAGATCCAATATACATCTTATAATCTGTGACAACTAACAAGTGCAACAGGTGCACCATGTACCAACCAGAACTTTTATACTAAACCTCCCTCTTTTGGGGTTGTAGAAGATACCACTCAAGCCAAATAGTAGGTGATCTTTAACAGCATAGATGATATGATGCTTAAGCTTGCCCTCAAGAGATTAACAAATAAGAGCAACTTCTCTACTTGTCCAGGTGAACATGCTGTTGTGACCATGCATGTGTGTGGGTATGTGTGCACGTGTGCATGTGCTTCACACACAATTCAAACATACACATGGTATGCAANAAGCCAAATAGTAGGTGATCTTTAACAGCATAGATGATATGATGCTTAAGCTTGCCCTCAAGAGATGAACAAATAAGAGCAACTTCTCTACTTGTCCAGGTGAACATGCTGTTTTGACCATGCATGTGTGTGGGAATGTGTGCACGTGTGCATGTGCTTCACACACAATTCAAACATACACATGGTATGCAATTCAAGAAAAAAAAATATTAGGTGCTTCTTACTCTTCATTTTCCATTTTCTTTTTCCTTGAGAAAAACCCTGTTTTGTACTTGAAAGTTGGTAGCCGGGAGATGAGCTCTTCGGACAGTCCTCTGCTCTCACTGCCAACAGTTTCTCCTAGCGATTGCAATTGCTAAGAACAAACATCAACACAAAGTTACATGACTTTGCTTAAAATGCATGTCATAATTAATTTTTAGCACTCAAAATGCAATAAACTTGACTCCATGAAAACAATCTGGACAATCCAGAAAATTTCGAAGCCCAAGATTAGTTTGAAAACAAAACATTATAAGTTTGATTTTCAAGCATTTGGATTATCAAACTCATATCAGGAACAACTGATTGACAAACATATAAGCGTCATTCAATATTTGCCAATTTTTTATTAAAGGGTGGCNTCATAATTAATTTCGAAGCCCAAGATTAGTTTGAAAACAAAACATTATAAGTTTGATTTTCAAGCATTNAATCCAGAAAATTTCGAAGCCCAAGATTAGTTTGAAAACAAAACATTATAAGTTTGATTTTCAAGCATTTGGATTATCAAACTCATATCAGGAACAACTGATTGACAAACATATAAGCGTCATTCAATATTTGCCAATTTTTTATTAAAGGGTGGCCCCATTGCACTTTCTGTAGAAGTCAAAAATTTATCCCATAGATTGAGATCAGCAAAGAAAATGGGGACCTTTATCAAAAATTAATGGGCATGAAATGACTAGATAGATTCTTTGAACATAATTCCTCATAGGATCATCATTTCATTCTGGCCATTACTTTTAGGTTCCATCCACAATGATGGGTTTTCAAATAGAAATGTAATCTAAAATGTCAATAGGACCATTCAAATTTGTAGGAAGTCAAAACAGCCCGAACAAAATTGAAACAGAGTCATCTCTCGCAATCCTACATGTGATAGTTTATGTGCTTCTTAGCACAGTGGCCTAGTTGCTTCTTGCTTGATGAGAACAACAAAATATTGCACATAACTGAGTTCTTAACCACATATTACTCATACATGTTTCCAAACAGTTCATAACTTCATAGACTCAACCGCAAAATGTATTTCCAATTATAAGAAGGGAAAATATCATGGGTTTTTTTTTTTTGGCAAAACCACTGTTTTTAGAACAAACAATTTTCCAATAAAAATTCAAACCACAGCATACAAAATTGCAGACTTAATCAGAAAACCTACCTCATAGGTCATATTGTCTGGATCAACATCATCGTCCCTCCTATGATGACTCACTGTCTGCACATAGATAGAAAAACCTAGAATCACATATGGATTATTGCACTACTAGCAAAACCCAAAGCATTAATGAACAATACCCGGACAAGAGTTTCTCGAGGACTAAGTTCTGTACTCCCTGCAGAATATGTAAAAGCAAGTTTATTTTCATCATGAGAAATGTAGATAAGCAACAAGATGGTACTTTCTATATGCACTGTCTGAAAATTTGAACACACTGGGATATGGCGATAGAAACTTAGAAAATGACTTATATTGAATCCTGAACTTCCACACAGTAAATATGATCACTTTTTTATCGTACAACTGAACAATGCAAGTATGAACATAATTTTATGCAGATAAGTTTGCCACCCTTTACTAACCAGAAGTATCAGTCTGATGGGCAAAACAAAATACCGTCAAGTTTCTAATGTTTTGTTTTCGTATGGACTCTTTGAGCACCCTAATAATGCTCCCAGTCACATGCTGCTCGTCCCTCCTCCCAGGAGAAGAGTAGAAGTCAGGGCCTCCATCTTTGCAGAGTGATCTCCTGAATAACTTGTCTATCTTTTGGGGATCTTCTAGCTATTTCTTTACAACAACNCTCCCTCCTCCCTCCTCCCAAGAGAAGAGTAGAAGTCAGGGCCTCCATCTTTGCAGAGTGTTCTCCTGAATAACTTGTCTATCTTTTGGGGATCTTCTAGCTATTTCTTTACAACAACATTCAATATCCTGAAACATACATTCCCAACACTCATTCTGCTCTAAGTTAAAAGTGTCATATGTTGTTCCATTGTCTTTGTTCACATATGTGCCATAGACACTCAATTACATCCCAGGTACCATCTTTTATCTCCAATGAGGATCTTTTCGTTATAAGTACCCTATGCTGTGCGTCCTTAGGAGCAAAACTTTGTGACTGTTGACTATTCATTTGACCAGTAAAAAACAATGGGTCAATAAATCATGAAAAGTTGAGCTACTAGAAGAGACACAACCTTTGCAAAATCAAACGAAAGGTTAGACGTATATTTTTACCAGCTGCAGTACCACTGTGTTCAGATATGTAGAAATCATCGAAGTCTTCCCCTAACTCTTGCAAGGATCTAGCCAAAGCTTCATCTAGAGCCAATTGTGACTCAACACTTCCACCCCGCGAAGATTCACCATCTTGTCCCGAAACCTGACTTCGGTCACTGGTTTGACCACTATCAGAACTTATTCCCTTGTTCTTGCCACTTGCTTGAAGTGACTCGTAAACGCTTTCCTGCAACATAATAGAGATATAATGAACATAATACTTATTAGTATCGAAAATGAAGACAAGATTGTTCAAAAGAGCATTTTTCTTTTGCTGATTCAATAAAGCAACCAAACTTCATTCCAAAGCACCTGATGTAGAAGAATCTCTTCATACGTAAGATCACCACCATGTTCAGGAAAAAATTCTTTTAAATTTTCAGCAATTTCAGCCGGGATTCTTCCATTGAAAGATTGGTCATGCACCTCTGTGTTCCTCATCATGTGTCTTTCAGACAAAAAGGGTGGAGAAACTCTCCTTTTCCAGATTGGAAGAATCTCTTGTTAACTTCCCTTTAATATATCATATATCCATCGGTCAGCAAAAATGACGTTGAATAATACAGACAAATGATACGTAGAACCTCAAAAATATAGCAAAAAGCAATTCATGAAGTTTCAAGTGCCTAATCCCTATTCTCCGGAAAGATTCCCAAATTTTTCATACTGCTCCCGAGAAGCACAGATAGATCAACACTTATGCTGACTGATGTAAACATTAATGTCAATAACAATTATCCACACCACACTAGTGAAAGTTTCATAAAGAATCACTTTTCAAGATCAGTGCTCTCACAGGAGAAGAAGGCTTGGAACTACACCCTGGAGATAGAGATGACTTGTAGAATTTTTTTCCCAGACAAATGCAGGCACCACAGTCGTTACGAGTTATGAAATAAAATGATATAATAAAAGATAAGATTATGAAGAGCAAGTGCTAACCGTGAGCATTGAATACAAAAGATTTCTATTTTTAGGGAAAATAAGAGATATTCGTCAATTGTTTCTGTTCTCTTCATGAAATACATTCAAATGCATATGGGTGGATATGACATAAATGAAAAAGAATATGCAATATACCGACGAAGACAAGAAGATATCTTCCAAATCACAAAGGTAATAGGATAAAGCAAACACTAATCCACAGCATTAAATGCAAAAGTTAATTTGGGGAAAATAAAGCNACGACGAAGACAAGAAGATATCTTCCAAATCACAAAGGTAATAGGACAAAGCAAACACTAATCCACAGCATTAAATGCAAAAGTTAATTTGGGGAAAATAAAGCAGGGTTTTCGATTGTGTCTGCACTCTTCTTGAGATATGTCATCATGAGGAAGCAGCCCAGAAAGATCTCAGCAACCCATCATTGTTAATCGCTTTTCTTTTTGACAATTAGAGTCTTTGTTTATCATTGGAATCGCAAAGTATTCAACACCCCTACAGACTGATGTTGACACTGTGAACAGAAAATTTACTATAACAACAAAGGCATGAAAAGCTCTCAACAAGCTGTGAAGATAGAGGTAACAAGAAAACTAGTCTTGATTACAGAGATAAATGTGAAACACTTGAAACATGAACCTTTATAGATGTGGCAAAAACAAAGAGAGAGAGAGAGAGAGAGAGAGAGAGAGAGAGAAGGGCATTCAGTTGGCACTTGATACTAAAACAAGAACAGAAAGAACCTCAATGAAGATGATGAAATGGGTTCTTCATCACTGAAATAATAGAAATACAAATCGAAAGTAACACTTCAATAATTACCCACCTAACTAATTACATAGTCCTATTTTTCCTAGAAATTTGTGGGTTTTTAACATTAGATTGATTGTGTCCCAGGCAGAGGTGACTTTTCACTGACCCTTGTCTCACAAACTGGGTTGTGCAGACAATAAGGTAGTAAATTGTCTAACACACCCATGAAAGCATGAAAGATCTTCCGAGACTACGCAGAAAAAAGAAATTGAAATGACTATATTAAGCGTTAAAAACAGTATATTCTTCAAATTTTAAAGAGAAAAACAAGATGGGTACTTGAATGGACAGTGCTGTTAACGAAAAAATCAGGAATTACAGAGAGGGACAGAGATGAGAAGTACCTGTGAGTGAAGGTAAAGAAATGGGTATTCTTGGATCTTTCAACAAACACTCCTCTGCAGTTTCACTCCCAAATGAAAGCAATTTATTGTACCGTAGTGAAGAAAAAGTTGAAGAAAAAAATAATTTTTCCCTCAGGAAAAAGGACTAATAATTTTTTTATTTTGGGGAAAAGCATTGATAAATATTTTTGAAGATGGCGAGAGNACTCCGGAAAAAGGACTAATAATTTTTTTATTTTGGGGAAAAGCATTGATAAATATTTTCGAAGATGGTGAGAAAGCAAGAGTGGGGTCTACTTCAACATGGGGTCTACTTCAGCTTTTGGAGAAAATGTCATGTGCAAATAAATGTGCAAATAAATGGTTGGCGATATACATCCTCGGGAGCCACAAAAACAGAACAACCATCGACGACTTCTTTTAATTTTCCTTGCCAGCCATGAAAGCAAAACACAATCTTACTGCATCTTTGTCCGCTATGATCGAAAAAAAAAACTAGCCAACAATTCTGAAATCATGACTTTAATTTTGTAAATAATAATTCATCAGGGAGTAATACTATTTAAAACTAAAAATTTAACTAATTTGTTGACATAATAATACAATTACAGTAAAATCACTTGATTAACACTATATTCAAATATTTTATGGAGCTCATAATCAATCCAAATATCATAGTAAATTAGATCTCAATAGTATATATCAAAAATTAAACACTGATCTGTAATGTTTATATTGTAAATAATAATTTTTAATTTTTTTAATTACATAATTTAAAATTAAAAAAAATAGAGAGATACGTGAATTGATGAAATTATTTGATAATAAAAAATGTATTGATTGAATTGTTTGACATTAGAACCAAGAGAAATTAATATTTTTTGGACAGTAAAAAAATATGTTGAGATTAATTTTGTACAATTAAATTAAAATAGATGAATATTAAATCAATTTTGATCATTGTAATATTAGATAAATGAGCAATGTTAGGGATACTCTTAATTAACATCTTAAATTAATAGGGATCATTAGATAAGTACTAATACATCTGTCATTATTGTTAAACCAAAAGTAGTTTTTTAGTATAAAAAAAAATAGAGTTTTTGGTCAACTTTGAGCCTAAATTAAAATAGGACCCATTAATTATTTTGAATAAATTTTTGTGGGTTCATATTCTACTCAGTGAGGAGTATAACGTGGAATATTCACTTGCTCAAATCGAGTAAGAAATGAATAAGAAAATAGGCTTCAAAATGACTCTCTTGAAGAGTGAAAATAAAAGATGTGCAATGTGGAATTTGACATCAATCCCACATTGGTTGAGTAAAAAATTTAACATGGGCATATATAGCTCAAGTTTGCTCTATGGGTTGAGCCCCAAAGGGTACCACAATTTTATGAGCGGAGCGAGCACCTACATATCGTTGGGTCTACCACGCACACGCGCGCAGCCTGCTCGGCCCAGCCCGACAAGGTGTGGGTGTGCTTTAGACCAAGCCTTATATTTTTGGAAAAAATTCATTTAATTAATTGGGCATGAGTTTCTTAACCTGAAATTAATTTCGATATCCATTGGATAATTCGAATTTGCTCCGGTCCGAACCCGTTGGATAGTTCGGATTTGCTCTAGTCCAAAATTTTCAAGATGTGACTGTTCATGAAGAACAGTTATTCAAGGTGTCCGCTGGCTGAGTCGATTTTTGTTTCTGGGTTGTGTCATTTAGTGAGGTGCATGTCCAGACAGTCACTAGACTATCTATAAATACACAGTGCATGCATTCATTTTATTCATTCCATTTATCAATCCATTAAGGCATTAAACAGTCTGCATTAAGGCATTTAAGACAGTACGTTTAGAGAGTACACGACACAAACTTTGGTTCGCTGTACGAACAGATTGAAATGCTACTTCTGTTCGTGGAAGATCATTGTATCCTAGGAGACAGACGCTCGGATTCCATAAGCACCGTGTGTGGAAACAAAATCTGTCTTAAGGACATAGTGTCAAACACTAGCCTTGATCTACAACGAGTTCAATAACAGTTCCTGTTCTGTAACCGGGTTAGTTTTTATATTAATTTGGCACAGAGTTACGTGTATTTGCTTGTTGTAACTCTTTCGTGTTTCATAAGCCTATTGTAATTTTTTCGGTACTGTGTAACTGTTTACTGTAACTATTTTGATTTGTATTACGGTTCTATAGTTCACATTTACTTTTTATTTTATTTTAAGTTACATGATATCAGAAATTTCAATAAGTGATTTTACAATTTTGGAACACCACAAACAATAATCTTAAGACAGATTTCCATTAGTTTAATTATTTGTAGTGTTTCTGATACATGTTTTAGTATTCAAAATATTGCAAATTGTTAAAAACTTATTTTGTTTACAATCTGAGATATTTTGAGACTAGAAAATGATATTTTGAGACTGGAAAATTTCTGAAATTTTTTTTTTTATGTTCTGTTTTTGTGTTTAAAGTCAAACAGTTATACCAAACTATTACAGTTTCGTCAAACAGTAACTCTGTTTTAAACAGTTACATCAATCAATGACTTTGTTTCTGTGTATGTTGTAAACAGTTACACCAAACAGGAAAACCATACAGAAACGTTAAACCAGTAACTTCAAAACAGTGACATTGTTTCAGTTTTAATAAACTTACTATTTTTCTACTTTTGAATATTTTTTATTTATCAGAAATGACTGCAAATGATAATACTGATTCTGTGACTACAAATCATGTTGTGCCTGTGATGCCTATTTTTGTTCCTACTCATGTGTCTCATGGGGAGAAACCTGAAAACTTCAATGGGAATGATTTCAAGAGATGACTACAGAAAATGTTATTATATCTCAGTACGTTGAATTTTAAAAAGTTTCTTCTTAAGGATTCTCCTGTTTGTAATAAGAATGAGATTGATCGCCAAGTTGTTGCTGCGGTGGATGCGGGAAGCACTCTGATTTTTTATGCAAAAATTATATCCTCAATAGATTAGATAGCACATTATATAACGTGTATAGTCCAATTAAGACGGCTAAAGAGCTATGGGAATCCTTGGATAAAAAATACAAGATGGATGATGCCGGAATGAAGAAATTCGTTGTGGGCAGATTCTTTGATTATAAAATGGTGGATTCCAAAACTATCATAAGTCAAGTTCAAGATCTTCAAGTGATCCTACATGAAATTCATGCCGAAGGGATGATGCTTAGTGAATTTTTTCAAGTGGCTGCAATTATTGAGAAATTACCGCCAAATTAGAAGGATTTCAAAAATTATTTGAAACACACACGTAAAGAAAATGAAACTTGAAGACTTGATCGTGAGATTGAGGATTGAGGAGGATAATAGAGTCTCTGAAAAGAAATTTGGCAATCATTCCATGGAGTCAAAGGCACATGTGATTGAAGAGGGACATAAAACTAATAAGAAAAGGAAGTATGTTGGCCAACAAGAAGTCAAGGGTGGTGATTTTGAAAGGTTCAAAGACAATTGCTTTGTGTGCAATAAACCAGGACATCGTGCAAAGNAGACATAAAACTAACAAGAAAATGAAGTATGTTAGCCAACAAGGAGTCAAGGGTGGTGATTCCAAAAGGTTCAAAGACAATTGCTTTGTGTGCAATAAACCATAACATCGTGCAAAGGATTGTCGCAACCATAAAGCACAAGTGAACCACAAAAGGAAGGTTGTTCAAACCAATATAATCGAGGTAGAAAAACTTTCTGAAAATGTTTCTAACATTAATTGTTCTGTTGTAGTATCAGAAGTGAACTTTGTGGGAAATACCAAAGAATGGTGGGTGGACACTAGGGCCACTAGACATATATGTTCGAATAAGAAGATGTTCTCTTCATATGAAGCAATTAATGATGGAGAACAACTCTACATGAGAAATTCCTCTACTTCCAAAGTTGAAGGCAAAGGAAATATTATATTGAAGATGATTTCTGAAAAAGAACTTACTCTTAATGATGTGTTACATGTTCCAAAAATTCGAAAGAATCTTGTGTCTGGATCATTGTTGAGTAAGAAGGGTTTTGGATTGGTTTTTGAGTCCGACAAATTTGTACTCACCAAGAGTGAGATTTATGTAGACAAGGAATATATGAGCGATGAGCTATTTAAGATGAATGTAATGACAATTGTATTTGATTTTAATAAAAAGAACACATTTTCTGCTTATATGCTTGAGTCCTCTAATATATGACATGGTAGATAAGGATATGTTAATTTTGATACTTTGCTTAAATTAATGAATTTAGAATTGTTGTCTAAATTCAATATTTATGCAAATTATAAATGTGAGGCATGTGTTGAATCAAAATTAACTAGAGCATCATTTCATAATATTGAAAGAAGTACTGAATCTCTAGAATTAATTTATAGTGATACATGTGATTTGAAATATGTTCAAACTAGATGTGGAAAGAAATATTTTGTTACATTTGTTGATAATTGCACAAGATATTACTATGTATATTTGCTAAGGAGTAAAGATAAAGCATTGAAAAAATTTATGCACTATAAGAATGAGGTTGAGAATCAACTTGACAAAAAGATTAAGGCAATAAGAAGTGATCGAGGTGGTGAATATGATGCACCTTTTGATCGATTATGTCAAAAATATGGTATTATTCACCAAACTTCTGTGTCTTATACATCTCAGCAAAATAGAATTGTTGAACGTAAAAATAAAACTTTAAAAGAGATAATGAATGTCATATTGATAAGTTCGGGATTACCTCAGAACTTGTGGGGGGAAGCTTTGCTTTCAGCAAATTATATTTTAAATAGACTACTCCACTAGAAATTAGACAAAATCTCTTATGAATTATGGAAAGGAATAAGGTCTTCCTATAAATATTTAAAAGTGTGGGGGTGTTTTGGCTAAGGTGATGGTTCCTATTCTTAAAAGGATTAAAATATGACCTAAGACTATTGATTGTATATTTATTGGTTATGCAATAAATAGCAGTGCATATCATTTTTTCGTGCATAAATCTGATATTCCTGATATACATATTAATACAATCATTGAATCAAGAAATGCACCATTCTTTGAAAATGTCTTTCCGAATAAAAATGCATGTAATGAGAGTTCTCTTAAACGAACTCTTGA